CCTGTGTTAGGTAACTTTATCTTCACCAAACAAGCCCCATGCTTTATTCCCTGTATATTTCTATTCACAGTCTGCCCTCCACGTGGTTTTCCTCCCTTTTATTTACTTTCTGAAATTCTGTACTTCTCCAGGACTCCCCCAATTTCAAATGCCACTCCCCCAATTTCAAATGCCACTCCCCCAAAAATATCTTACTCTCTCAACAGGATGTCCCCACCTCAACAGGCAGTGTCAGCTTCGCATTGAAGATATTTATGGGTATGGTTTATTCTGTAAGTTCCCAACAGACACACACTCTCTTTCCATCCCCTACAGTAGGGTTTTTTAAATTGCAGGTTCAACCCATGGATGGGAAATTTTTAAAAAAGAGAATAGAAAATATCAAAGGGCATCATACATAGTAAGAATAAGTGTTATTTCAGGCAATCTTGTTTCAGTTTTGTGTATGCATGTGCATACATTAATATTAAATGTATTTGTGGCTGTGGGTCATGATTATGAAAGCCACTGCCCTACAGTACCTATCCTATAGTAATGCCTAATACTCTGTGAATGCTTACTGAATTGAACAAATTGATGAATATGAGATGATTCATGTATTATAACTTCAAAGGCTCCAATATAAAGTATAACGTCTATTTGAAGGAAAATGTATGGATTCTGGTTTATAGGAAGCTATGGGGACACAGGTCAGTAATAGGGAAGATCTGAATATTTACTATTGTATATCGATAGACTTTCTCCCCAATAATTAAAATGTGTTTGTATTTAAGGAAGATTAAATATAAATGTGATTAAGTTCATTTTGGAAAAAAACTTTTCTCATTCACTGAAACTACCTCATGATTACAAAGTTCTGCATCTTTAAAATATGTAGTATAGGTAATTCCACCATGATTCATAAAAGGATCTTTCAGAGACACCATGAAAGCCTTTGTTCAAGTTCTTTCTTTGCTCAAGATGCCTCTATGTCCTCTCAATACCCCACCCCCACCCCTGTCTGTAAAAATCCCATTCATCTTCCAAGACTTAGTTCAAAGGCCACCTTTTTCATGGAAGCCTTTTTTTCAACTCAATTTTTTCTCTGTCCCTACTCCACCACCCACCCTAGTCCCAAATGTGGTCTCTTTTCTGAATCATCTGTGTTAAAAAAACTTCCTTTTTCATCTGTGTACTTGTCTCAGTTCCCTTACCAGACAATAGTACGCACAACCCAGTCTTACTCATCTTTGCATCCCCCACAGCAACCAGCACAAGGTCTTATACTTAAGAGATGATCAATAATTATTTGTTAAGTGAATAAATGAAAGCAACAGTTAGCCTGTTAAAAGGGATGGTCATTATTTTAAAGGCTCTGAGGAATGGCTTATATGTCTAGCAGCTAATCAAAAAGTGGTGGACCACAGGGGAGGGGGCAGCTGAGTAGAGGCACTGCTCCTCTGCACATATGCCCCTATAAACTCACCGAATCCCAAACTCTTCTAGACTCTACAGAAGCTACGGAGCTGGAAACTGAATGAGCACCTTCACCTTGCTCCAAGTTTCCCAGTCTTGCTTCATACCAGAAATGGGAAGTGGAATTAGAGTTGGAAATTAGGGCCACCTTTTCAACTTTATGGTATGGTTAAAAAGAAAAACTGAAAAGCCATCTGAATAATTCAGGCTCAAAAGACCCACCCTGATAAACAACTATGGATGTTTCTGAGTAGGGGGAAGGGTGTGCAAGAAGGCAGAGGAAGTGGTTCTTGAATTATCAATTGATTGTTTATATTGATTGCATTCAACAGTACTGAACTTTTCTCTTCATATTACCTATACAGTCATTTGAGGACACTTTCTGGGACTGCTAGAATAAACTAGCTCAGGTTCAAAGCCACAGTCACAACTAATAAACAGCAATTTGTTCTACTAGAAAACAATGTCCACCAATTAGAAAAAGTTGTTAGGGACTAAAATAAGATTCTCTCTTGCCAGTAATCTGTACCTACTCCTTTCCCCTCCAAAGAAACACATTTTTCTATGATAAATTAAAGAAGTTTTCAATGGCCTTTATTTAAAATGTATATCTCTTTTATAAGTGAATTCATAATTAACATGCATAATTTCTAAATCATGATATTTTGTTTTCAAATTTTTAATTTTACATCAATACCATTTAGGGCTCTGACCTTCTCTTTCTTTGATATTTTAACAGAACCTTAACTTCCAGTCCATCAAAGGTTTGCTTTGTAATTAATTTCAGAGCTGACCTCACAAACTGAGAGACATCTAGAAAATGCACTGGGTTTAAAGTCAGAAAACTGGGCTTTGAAGCTAATTCTTGATTCAAATATAGCTGTTCTATTTCTAGATGTGTGACCTTGGGTGGGTTATCTGATTTCCCCAATCCTCAATTACACCATCTGTAAAATGGGACTAATAATAGCACTTGCTTTGTAAGGCTATTATGAAGATTAAGTGAGGTAAAATATGTAATATACCTAGAACGGTGTCTGGTAAATAGTGTTTGGTAAATGTTAGTTTTAAAAAGTCTGCTGTCATTTGTTTTGTGGTCTTGGTATAGTTATTTAACAGTTCGAAGCTTCTATTTCCTCATCTATAAAATGGGACTACTACTACCACTTACCACTTCCATGATTGTTAGGAGATTCACATGCAAACAGTAGATATGAAAATGTTAGACACACAGTAAGTACTCAAATATTAGTTATTTTGGATCACCTATCAGCTTAAAACCATAAGCTTAAAAATTTAAGCAAATCATAAATTGAGTTAGAAAATACCATCCAAAAATTCACCTGTAACTGAGAAAATACCTGACCATGTTAGAAATGCCTACTCAAGGAGTTTGGTTTTTTTTTTTTTAACTTACCAGAAACATATAAGCTTTTGTAAAATGTAAATTCTAAATCTGCAAAACAAGAAACATTCCCTCAGTCAAGCCAAACCGTCCTACTATCTTGTAGTGGAGAAAGCCTCCATGCTTTCATTTGCCAAAAATTGACACATTGGTTAAAATCTGACTGCATGTACAGCAACTTTTTAAAAAATGCTTAATGTTTTGCTTTTATAAAAACAATAAGTGTACTGTAGCTACTATAAAGTTCAAGTCAATTCAACAAACATTTTATTCTGTGACAATGCTCCAAGTAACTCAGCTGGGAACTAAGGATGCAAGGGGAAATAGAGCTGAGGCCCTATGCTGGAAAAGCACACAAATTATGGTTGGTAATCTCAAAATATTACTTATAAAAGTCATGAGGGGTTCAACTTGAGTCAGCAAGCAAACAAACAGCATAAAAATATGCCAAAACAGTTCTTCCCTTCAACTGAAAAACTGCCTTTCAAAACCAAAAGTCATTTTTGCTTTTAAAAGTATAGTTGCTATCTGAAATCTATTGAATTTGTGCCAGAAACCAACATTTCTAAATGTAAAACTATAAAGTAACAGGTATCTGTAAATGAAAGGCTGAAATAACCCCAGGAGCAGCAAGACAGGAATTAGCAACTTTTATAGTGTAATAACATGTTTCATATTTTTTCTACACAGGCTCTGTGAAGTTTCCAGTGTAATATGTAAAAGTTTTATTACATTAGGGCCCATCTTTGTATGTTTTATAGGCACCAGCATTATGCAGTACAAGCTGTACTTACTCATCATGGGATCTTCTATAAGAAACTGTTCTATAATGCGCTAGATTTGTCCAGTTTATTCTGTTACACCTGTCTTTAGGAAAATAAAATCACTGGAAGCCTAAATCATGGAAAATATACACCGATCCACATATCATCTATATGAGCCATAAATCATAAAGCGGTTTAGCTTTAAAATTGTACATTGCATATTCATGTGCACACCACTTGCAGTTTTAGACACATGTGAACTCTTTACTGAATTAAAACAAGGAAAAAAAAAAGCTCAGCTCTACAATAAGCGATTACCAGAGACAGAACAGAGTGCAGTTAATATGCTTGTTCCAGCAGATGTTCATCCCCGTAAATATTAAACATAACACAAGTTCCTCCAGGAATATGCAGGCAGTAATTTTACCACCTGAATAGTGCTGGTTGGAAACATTTAAAAGATAATGGGGTGGGGGCGGGCGGCAGAGAAAGAAGGGGTGTTAAGAGAGATGTTAAAGCAGCCAATGGGATTTTTAAGACACCCGCAACTGGAATTAAACTGCTTCCAGCGGCGATTTACCTACAGCAGCTCCTCAATGTGAGATCCCGGAGAAACTAAACCCGGAGAGCCCCCAGGCTGCGCGCTGTGAGCGTGGCATAAAGGGATACACGGGGCGCCGGGGTGGGGTGGGGTGGGGAGGAGGAGTACAACTGTGGTGAGGTGTGAAGAAAGGGCCCAGAGGAATTGTGAACCTCGAAGAAACGAGTCCCTCCGGGCCAAGGCCTCTGGAATTCCCGCACGGAGAAACACTCGCCTCCTGCCCTGGGTGTTCACTTTTCCATCTCGGGTGGGAGTGGGTGGGAGAGGCAGAAAGGATGCAGCCTCCGAGACCGGGCGCAGGCAGGGAGGAGGCTGGAGCATCCTCTAAGGGCACTTAGCCAGCAACACCAACTCCAGGGGGTCGCTGGTGTGAACCAGAGGTTCTTGGAGAGAGGGAGGGGGCGCAGTCGGAGGGAAAGGAAGTGACAAGGGCCGGGGGCGATGGATGGCTCCCCAGGCATTAGTGACACGTTCTTAAAATCGCTTTTTTTCTCTCCATGGCTGCGCTCTGCCCCTGGCTACCTAGATCCCCAGCCCCTGGGCTGGGGCGGGCCGCCGCGAGGAAGGGGACAGGAGAAGGGGCAAACAGACGGGAAGACGGCTGTGCATCCCCCCGGGGAAGGCAGGAAAGAACCGCCGAGGCGGGCGCCCGGACCCACCCCACCCCCACGGCGGCCGGCCGCCCGGAACCCCCGGCCCAGGTGAGGGCGCGCGGGCCGCCGCGGCCGCCCCTCGCCGCTCCCGCCTGCCCGAAGCGGCCGGCACCGGGACTTACCACAGCGACTCGAGGTCCCATTCCTGGAGCAGAGCTAAGTCGAAGCTGTCCATGGTGGAAGGTGTCAGCGCCGCCGCTGCCGCCGCCGCCGAGCCTCTGGTCGCCCGCGCGCTGCAAGGAAAGGCGCCGCTCAAGGTGCATCCCGGCCGCGCCGGAGCGACCGCCGCCCGCCCGCCGCCCGCCCCCGGGTCGGGGCTCCCGACGCCCCCAGCCCCAGACTCCGGGCCGGCCAGCCGGGCGGCAGCGGCCGGCGCACTCACCCGCTCGCCGGCTCGCGCGCAGGCACACTCACGAGAGAGCGGCGAGCTC